GTGTGTGTGTGTGTGTGTGTGTGTGTGTGTGTGTGTAGACTGTGGTTGTTCTGTATCATCAGGTTGGAACTGACTCATAGCTAACCTTCCAATGAGTTTTCAGAGGCAGTTAATCATACAGAAGGAGATTTTGCATCTTTCTTCCATGAAGCAGCTGGTGGATTTGAATTATGTGTCTTTGGGTTGGCAGTGCACTTCTTTACTATGAGGCCAACAGAACTTGTGTGTATACGCGTACGCATGCGCACACACACGTCTATCTTGGAGAGGGTGATACCAAGTTTCTCCTTGGAGGCTAGTGATTTGAAGTTCCAACTCACATACTTTGGGCATGTGGCCAAGGTCCAGTCCTTGGAGAAATACACTCAGAAGAGTGGAAGGACAGCACAGGAGAAGATGACCCCAGATGAGATGGATTGATACAGTAGCTGGGGCAATGGGGGAAGGTGCACTGGAGTCAGTGAGAATGACTCAGGATAAGGCAGACTTCAGTGCTGTTGTATATAGGTTCACTATGAGTCACAGGTGACTCAACGGCATGTAACAACAACAACTACTCTGCCACTAAAAAACTATATAACAAACTAAATATATAACTATACATATAACAAATTCTCTGTCTCTTTCATACATATATATACACACACACATATACATATACATACATGTCTATCTCTATCTATATATACATATATATACATACATACATATATATACACACACCCCTAGGGAACTCTGTCGGCCTAGTGGTAAGGAGTTACACTGCCAAACCAAAGTTTCAAATCTACCAGCTGCTCCAAGGGAGAAAGATGGGCAATCCCCTTCTGTGTGATTTATAGCCTCTGTAAATCTGCTAGAAGGTCAATTATAAATCAGTCCTGACTGACTAGGTAGTCTAGTAGGAATGGAGTTGCGCTCCCAACCCAAAGGCATGTGGTTCAGATCACAAGCTTTTCAGCTGGACAAAGAGGGGTAATCTCCTTCCATGTGATTTACAGCCTCTTGAAAACCTCCTGGAGGGTCAAGTATGCATTAGTTTTGACTTGACCGCAATGAGTTTATACATACATACACTTGATAGCATTATTCACAACATAATACATACATTTATTTATAACTCATTTGTATCTCCAAATTAAATATAAGGTTCATCAAAACAAAGACTTTTGATTGTCTTGCTTTAGAAGTTTGCCTGATGTTAGACACTCAGTAAATACTTGCTCAATAAATAATGCAGTGAGTGAAAATGTTTTGAAATCTAGTGGCAATGTCTGAAGATAGATCGGAAGTATTTTGAAACATCCCAGACCGCCTGCTCCTTCTGGGCCCAAGTACTGAGCTGGCAGGAAGACTCAGCTTGGCTGAGTGTGTGTTCTCATCGAGGACACAGAGGACTCTTTGAGGAAGGAACAGCACTAACATCAGACACAATGGAGAGAAGATTTTTTGTGTAATTTCACTGGAAATATTCTGTATCTCAGGAAGTGTGGTACATCAACACAAGATAATAGTAGGACATTGATTGGATATCATCAGAAGGGTATTTAGTTTTCCATCAGAATCCATCTGAAGGTGACAATAAATGTCAGGACTTGAACTTGATCATGTCTTCTCTCTTAAGTATCTTTTCAGTGTCACAATTAAAATTCTACCATTACGTATAGTAAAAAATGTGAAGGTTTTCCTGAGGTTTATCTCATCGTCTCTTCATTGTTTTGATTCCCTAGGTGGTCATCAGGTGAGAAGCAGACATTGTTGAATGCACATTGTTATGGGACCAAAGGGAAAACAGCAGATGTAGCGTGGAAACTGAAGGCTCTGATGTCTACACTCAGTTCTGACACCAACTCTCAATCTGAAAAGTCACTTTCTCACCAGTATCCAATTTCCTAATCCATTTCTGTCCTATCAGTAAAGAAGGGAAAGGGCCAGAGAACATAGCTGTCAGGAACTGAAATTGTATACCATATGATGCTTGCAAAATGGCCATTAGATTTCTCAGAGAAATCAAATTATATCACCTACTTGTAATGGGACTGTTGTTGTTATCGCCAGGTGTCCATGAGAGCTGAACACTTTTGTCAAGACGATTTGTCAATTCTAAATCAAAGGGAGGGTTCGGGACATCTGCAGACCAAAAACACACATCATGGTTAACCACTGTCCTCGCGAAGTGTTGCTTTGTTTATGATGATATGCAAGAGTGGACATCGTCAAGACACAACACAAATAATGTTCAATGGCATGCAATGGGAATGCAATGGAAATGCAATGGAAATGCAATGGAATCCACTGAGGCTGCTGGGATCACACACACACACGCTGGCGCCTTATTTCACATGAGACAAAGTAATTTGTTTTTTGTTTTTTTCCTTTTTTTTAAAAAAAAAAGAATTTTAATGAAAGTTTACAGAGATTTTGGATTTCCATTCATTCATTGTTGCACTTTTCTTCCTGTCCAACCCTCCTCCCAGTTCACTCTTCTATTTAAAAAGTAGAAGAAAAATTCTTTCACAGTTATACAATCCCTCCCTTCAAGTCCACTCCATCATGCCCCCTTCATTCTGGACTCCTATCATGACAATAATACCTAATCATATATCCCTTTTAAATAGTTCTCTCCCTCATCTGTTTCAATGCAGTATTGTTCATTCCCTCTTTCTCAGTCTCACCCCAACCCCTATGTCAGTCCTCTTTTATAGCAGTGGCATTAAGTGGTACAAGACTAAGTAATTTGTAACCATTACTAGGGAAGCAGGGATCTGTGATCCATCAGCACTCTCAGCGTGTGTGCCATAAACATGAATGAAGACAAACATAAATAAAATAATATCAAAAGAGAAATAGAGAAGATAATAATAATAAAAGAGAAATAGAGAAAGAGCAAATGTTGAAAAACACAAATTTTACTGTTTAAAAATTACTCAAATATTCCCTCTGAAACATGCTGAATTATAGATTTGGAAGTTTCTGGTGAAGATTGAGATTTTAAAGGGAATTCTAGAATTGTTGCTCTATATAGGGAGGTATGCATATGTGTGCCTGTTTTCATTACAACAGTAAGGCACATAAAAGGGTGTGCTTAGTTCTCATAGATGCTACAGTATAGACCCTTTGTTGAGACAAAGGAACTCCCAAACATGCCTTCTAATGGCATTTCTGAGACCCACAGGGTCCTTTTCTTAACCTTGATTCTGATAATAATAGGACTCTTGGGGAGCCAGAAGCCATATACAAATATATTGTTGTTGTTAGGTGTCATTGAGTTGACAACAACTCATAACAAATCTATAAACAACAGTTTGGAGCTTTGCTCTATCCTGTCCCGTCCTCATCATCTCTGCCATCCTTGGGCCCATTGTTACAGGCACTGTGTCAATATGTTGTTGTTGTTATGTGCCGTTGAGTCTCCTGTGGCTCACAGCGATCCTATGTACAAGAGCCCTAAGCCCTGCCCTATCCTGCCAATCTTACTGTCTCTGTCACGCCTGTGACTGTGTCACTATAGGCACTTTATTTCTATCACTATAAAAGCAGTAAACATTTGCAAAAAGAAAAGCCTTCTACAGGACAGTTAATGATGAATCAGAATCTATTCAATGACAGAATCCACTCTTTGTTGATGTTGTTTCTTTTGTAAATGCAAAACCCCAGTGTGCCACAGCATTGATTTTATTCCTTAAAAACTAATTAAATGAGGTTTCTGAGAGCAAAGCTATTTCTGGAAATAACTTCCAATTTATTTTCCAGACTCACACGACCATAGAAGATGGGTACCATCCTCCTTTTGGTCTTTCAGGGTTTACCTTTTGTTAACCACATAAGAAATTAAGTTTTATTTGATTCAAAAGCCAAATATTGATCTTAATATCCAGGTTTGTCCTGGAGAAGGTGAAACCAAGCTGCTCCTCGGAGGCAAGGATTCTAAAGCTCCGCCTGACATACTTTGGGCGTGTTGCAAGGAGGGACCAGTCCTTGGCGAGGGACGTCATGCTTGGGAGGATGGAGGGACAGCGCAGGAGGGGAAGATCCTCAGTGAGACTCAGTAACTGGGGTTATGAGGGTAGGTGTTTCAGAGACAATAAGGTTGGCACAGAATAGAGCAGGATTTAGGGCTGTTGTACATAGGGTCACTATGAGACGCAGGTGAATTGACGGCACATAACAACAACAACAACAATAATCCAGTTTTGTTCATCAGTCAATTTTTTGAAAACAGTGTCCCCAAACAGTGCTTATTTTTTCTAAAACAATATTTACTGGAGCGATGCAAACTAACTTGTGAAACGATATTTTAAAAAGCTTATTCACTTTGTGAAGTGTGGATGGTGACTTTTGAAAAAACATTACAAGGACATTTTACTAAAGAGAAACTCTTATTAGATGAAATGGTTTTATAAAAATGCATGAAATATTTAGAAATGCCTGGCAATGTACTCAGAGAAAACTTCCAAGGCGTAATGAAGAAGTGATTGATAGCAGGAAATGGGCAATACACCAGAACACTCAGCTGAGTTCTTCTCTTTAAAGAAATAGAATGGTGCGATGGAGAAAACAAAGCCGTTAACTTTTTCTGCAAATATGAACTTGTTTGACAGAAAGTAGACAAAGAAGACTCATATTAGTTTACCGTAAATGGGAGCTGGAGTTGGAGTGGGAGCTGGAAAGGACATTAATATAAAGGATTTTAATCAAAATTAGTAATGGAAAGATACAAGCTAGCACAACAGACAAAGATTCCACATGATTAACATTATAAAAGTAAACTGTGGAGACATGGCATTGGTAAACATGCAGTAATAATTAGGAGGAGAAACTCTCAATTTTAAAGAAATATAAAGAATTTTCTTATCTATATATCATTAATGTCTATACTGACTTTTTATTCCAGTGCTGTTACAAAGTATCTGTATACTGAAATTATTGCTTTGAAGACTTTTTTCCCCAAAGAATAATACATGAATACTTAACTCACCTATGAAATTATAAATATATAGTATGCATACTTTAATATTTATATGTTCTCTTTCCAGATTAACACAGGACAACTGCTTCTGCTGTACTGGTGCGAGCTCTTACCAACAACGCTAAGTACAGCACTGGCCGAGACATTGTCCAGAGTGGTGTTGGCCACACAGGTGTAGGTTCCTCCGTCATCATCATCCACATCAGTGATCACCAAATGGTCCTTCTTGACAGTGAACCTGGGAATGCAACACATTTGGGGCAGCTGAAACAAGCATCTTGCCACACCTGCAGTTCCCTCTCTTATCGGATCACCTTGAACTTGGCAAAAGAGAAAGTTGGTAGGACATTAGGGCTGAAACTATACAATATGGATTGCTTTAGTAATGATTATCACTGGAAAACATTTCCGATACTTGAACTGAAATCTTGGGTTAGAAGAGATAAGTCATTTGATGGAGTGACATTCAACCAAGCCTTTGGGTCTTTGAGCTTCCTTGAAATTCTCAGGGGCACTAGAGGTGATGTGGAACAACGCCACAGTTATTCTTATTAAAGAGAAGGCTTTACAGAGGTGGCTCTGGTAGCCAAGAGGATAATAAGTTGTGCTAACAATTTCAAGGTAGGTGGTTTGAATCCCCAAGCTGCTCCAACAGAGAACAATGGGTAGGTAGCCTCCTCCCATGCAGACTGCTGCCTCTGAAATCCTGCCAGAGGTTCAGCTGTGAGTTAGCTCTGACTTGACGGCATGGCGTGTTTGTTTATTTGTTTGTTCCCCTGCTGCTAAGAAATATTGGAAAACTTCTCATTTAGGTCAGTCTCTAAGGAATCCATTAGTTCAGAATAGCTCATTATTTACAGCAGAAATTGTATGCAATTTTTGCCAAATACATAAACTCTCCTGTTGCTGCAATTGGGTACATGCTGATTCAGGGACTCTGCGGGTCAGAGAAGAACCGTCCTACAGGGCATCCAAAGCTGTAATCTTTTCAGAAGCAGATAGATGGTCACATCTCCTTCCTGCTGACTCTTGGTGGATTTGAACAGCCAATCTTTCAGTTAACTGCCAAGCGTTTAACTACTAAAACTACCAAAGTTTCCTGTAAACTTTCACAGGGAAAAGTTGAAGCAGAGCATACCACTCTGTTTTGTCATTAGAAACAGGAAGATACAGAAGAGCAATCTCCGTTAAGGTTTTATAGGTGCTATTTTTAAGTGTGAAAAATTACTCAGGGGGCCAAAGCTCAATATCTATGGAGATTCTCTGGTACAGTTTTAATGAGGCTGCGTAAATAATAAAATACTCTCATGATTTCCAAATAAAAACCTTAGCAGACTTGACCCTCTTGTCGATACCAACTCAGATTACACAAATAAAACTGACAAGCTGAGGTACAGAGCTAGATGAAAACTCTGGGAATAGATATGAGAAGTCCACAGATGTTTTTAGAGGCTTTTAAAAAGCAAATACACGGGTTACTGTGGTTATGTGCCCTGAGTTGGAATCAACTCATAGCTGACCCTCCAGCAGCTTTTCAGAGGCTCTGAATTGCATGGGAGGAGATAGCTCATTTTTCTCTGTTAGAGCAGCTGGTGATTTTAAATAAAACCACCTGCCGTTGGGTTGGAAGTGCAACTTCTTACCACTAAGCACCCAGGTTAGCAGTTTGAACCTATCCAGAGGTGCATCAGAAGAAAGGCCTGTCAATCTGCTCCTAAAAGGCCTTGAAAAGTCCCGCAGGATACAGTTTTCTGTAACACGCGGAGTGGATCTGAGTTGGAAGTCATCTGATAACAACTATACTTTTTGTTTTGTTTTGTTACTAAACAACAAGTTTAGGTCATCTGCATGAAGACCCTAGAAGCTCCTTCCACCAGAATCCAACATTTCTTTCCAGAGGGAGCAATGCTCGTAGACATTCTGTCCCTGCTAACATGCATCTGTTCATCTCTGTGTACTTACTAGGTCTAATGGAGGACTTCCCCTGACAATGGCCCGCCCATTTCTCCCATTCCAACCTCCAGGGATGCAACACCCTCAGGCGCTTAAATACTTCACCTTCATTATTTTATTCTTTCTCCTTCCATTGGCTTTAGATAAAATGGAAAGAAAACTCCTTTTTCCAAATACCAACTAGTATCCTGTACCACAAGCTCCCAGGGGCCACACAGTGATTGGTGAGACCATATTTCTGTTTATTTGTAGAAAATGAAAACATCTGTTGAGACTTCATTAGACAAAGTGCAATGACAATGGACATTGTCCTAAGCCTAAAGGGTTTTTCTCATCCCAAGTTATAGAGGAGACGAACACACAGACAAATGTTCCCGGCATCTTATTTCAATACCTGAATAGCTGTCTAGGTCCTGGCATTTTACAACAGGGAGAAAATGCCTCCCTCTTAATTTTGGAGACAGTAGACTTCAGAAACATGAAACATTTCCCAGCTGAGTCACTATGGAGTAAAGCTCGGGTTGAATAGCAGAGCAGAGAGAAAGAAGACAAAGAAATCATCATCTTCAAATACCTGTCTTCATTGGGCAGCTCACCGTTGTCCTTTAGCCACCTGACAGTGGGGATTAAGGTCTGATCGTGTTTCACTTGACATTCAAAGGTCACCGTCCCCCCTCTTTGCACAACTGCATACTCAGGCTGTTTAATGATCCTCGTTGGATCTGAAATGTAATGTTTATCGTTAGCCATTGCCAAAGCTGGAGAATATCGTCAAAGTCCTAAGTCGTGGAGAAGATAAAACTTGACTCCTTGAGTACCTTTGATTTCTAACTGAACTTCATTCTTCGCCATCCCCAGCTTATTCCTCGCAACACACGTGTAAGTTCCCGTGCTGTCCTTCTGTGCCACGGGGATTTCCAAAGTTCCATTTTCATGTAAGACATAAATATCACCACGAAGAGCACTTCCTTTGGCTCCTTTAAACCTTCATTAAAGAAATTATCCCCAAGAGAAAAAAACATATCCATAACTCAAAGGCAGACATCAAATGCCACTTCCAAGGTCAACCCCGCATTAAAATGTCACATTCTGAGACATTTGCAAAAGCAAACTGCAGACCTATAAACCAGCACGATAAAAATTAGGACAAGATACAGAGTGGGGGAATGTGAAGCTAAAGGGCATTTATAGACTTAGGCTGACTACATGAAATTCTTTCAATTGGAATTTTTTTGTTTTAAACCAGGCTGCTCCTTGGAGGCAAGGATTCTGGGCCTTCGTCTGACATACTTTAGAAATGTTGTAAGGAGGCACAGGTCCTTGGAGAGGAGCATCATGCTTGGGAGGGTAGAGGGACAGCGCAGGAGGGGAAAACCCTCTATGGGATGGATTGATTCAGTGACTGGGGTAATTGGGATGGGTGTGTCAGAGGCAGTGAGATTGGTACAGGACAGAGCAGGGGTTAGAGCTGTTGTACAAAGGGTCGTTATGAGTTGCAAGCAACTCAACGGCACATAACAACAACAACAACAACAACAACAACATGAGAGATCCATCATTTAATAAATACACTTGTATTGTTGTTATTGGGTACCATCAAGTCAGAGCCGACTCATAACTGACCCTTCAGTGGGTTTTTAGAGGCAGTTTCATACTGGAGGAGAGTATCCATCTTTCTCCTGTGGAGCAGCTGGTGGATTTGAACTGTTTGACTTCAGGACTATAGCACAGCTCCTTGCCACTAAGCTACCAGAGATTCCTAATAACACATAACTACTTATTTAATCTCTAAATAAGTGCTAACATAAGACAAAATGAAAACTGCCTCTCTTGATATTTCCCCCCCTGACAGGCTACAATTCTTACAAGATGTTTTGAGTTTAAGGCTAAAAGGGTCAGTTTTGAAAGCACAGAGAGGAAGTAGGGGCCTCTGGTGGTCTAGTGGCAAGAAGCTGCACTGCATTCTCAAAGGCACATAGTTTGAGTCCATCCGCTGCTCTGCAGGAGAAGGCCAGGCATTCTCCTCCCATGAGATGAACTGCCTCTGGAAACCCACCGGAGGATTGGCTATGGCTCAGTGCCAACTCACCAACGTACAGGAAGTACACATTCAGCTTCTTAGTGAAGGCCATACAGGACAAGTGAGGACGGATGAAGCGGGATTAGAGGGTCAGCCTTCAAAATCCAAGTGTTCATTAGCCCTGATACCATCCCTAGGAAATCCATGCACAACTATCAGAGTTTCTCCTCTGTGGCTGAGGTCAGGGGCTGGGAGATTTTACCTTCCCTTCTTCACATTGTTGTTAGATGCTACAGAATCCATTTTTCAGTGGACTCACTTACAGTGACCCCATGTGATAGCATGGGCCCTCCCTATAGGATTTTCTTGACTATAGTTTTTATGAAAAGAGAACACAGGCCTTTCTTCTACTGAGTTCCTGGGTGGGTTCAAACCACCCACCTTTTAGTTAGCAGTGGGGTACCCAACTGTTGCACCATCAGGATTGCATCCTTTAGTCATAAACTGGCCTTTATTCTGACGTCAATTGTTGAAGCCCAGTTCAGCCCGTGGCGGCTGTGAGATGATCAATGGCTGGTGTTCTTCGACTCATTCTTTCTGTGCCGTTACCTGCCCCAGCCTTATCGCTCCCAGCCTATGCTAAACACAAACACTCCTGGAAGATGTGGATGGACCACTTCTATCAGGAGATGTGTATGAAGAGGCAGTCTAACGTGGGAAGTGAAAGGTCACAGAGATCTTCAAACTGCAGACAAAGGTTGGGAGTAATAAAATTTGTTTCTAAGGTTATAGGACCAAGACCATTATTGCTACACCTTCTCTCCGCTAAAGGCTATTTTCTTATCAACAAATGCCCTCAACTAGTGTCTCTCATCACCATTCACTAAGTCCCAGGTGATGTCCATGCTTTGTAAAATGCAGTCACCTCAATGCTGCTTTTAAACATTTACATATCGCTCTGTGGTTGACAACACATGCTGCTCAACAGAACATGTACATGGAAGTCACTGGCATAGAGCAGGCAGTTAATAATCATTTGTGAATAAATGAATAAATATGACAATTAGCAGGGTGATGGATTTTTCACTGCTTTTTTTCTCCCTGATCACTGAAAGAAACACAATGTATGGAGACATTTGAGGGATTTTGCAAATACAAGTTATTAGGCACAAAATAGGGCCATGACTTACCACTCAATGGTGGGCAGAGGAGACCCGAAGAAGGCACAGTCCAGTAAGGCAGGTCTGTTTGCAATGACCTGGTAAAGTGTGTTTGCAGGTGTGAGGATTCGTGGTGGTTCAGCTAAAAGCGTTTGCAAAAGGCAAAGAAAACACGAAAAGTAAAATGCACGTTCCAAGTTCACAGTACGTACGGCATTTGCTTTAAGATTGTTGGTGGTCAAGTACAACTAACCTGTGTCTCCCCTTCTATTCCCCTTTGGGCTTCACGAGGCTAGTGAGTATCCTTCTTCCCTGTCTTTAGGTGCCAGAAATGAAAAGGACTCGGTGTTTGTTTGCTTTTAAACACACACACACGAGGTCTTGTGCTGCCAATCCAAAGGCGGGTGGTTCAATCCACCAGTTACTCCATGGGAAAAGAAGGAGGATGGGTAATTTCTTTCTGTGCAATTTACAGGTTCCAAAAACCCTGCTGCTGGGTCAGCCAGGAATTGGTTCAGACTCAATGGCAATAAGCTGGACTAGTCTCTATATATTTTTTAATATACATATTTATTTACGTGTGTATATGTATGTATTGGAAGCAGGAGTGGCATCCACTTCTGTAATAGCTTGCCTCTGGAAACTCTGTGAACCAGGAGAAAGAATGAAAGTCACACAAGTGTTGAGGACTTTCGTTCATAGGGTCGCTATGAGTCGCCTATGACTCGATGGCACTTAACAACAGCATATGTATGTATGTATGTTGTTGTTATGTACTGCCAAGTTGGAACCAACCCATAGTTGACCCTGAAGCAGGTTTTTTAGAGGCAGTTAGTCACAGAGGAGGAGACTGTTCATCCATCTTCTATGGAGCGGCTAGTGGATTTGAACCACATGCCTTTGGGTTTGTAGCACAGCTTCTTGCCACTAGGCCACCCCTCCGAGATGTATATGTCTGTGCATATATATAATACACATGTGTATAAGTCAAAACTATTTGCTGTCAAGTTGGAATTGACTCAAATCTGTCTCTAGTGGGTTGTAGTTTTTTTTTTTTTTTTAGTCTATAGAAGATTCCCATCTTTCCCTTGTGGAGTCACTGGTATAGTTGAACCACTAAATAGGCAATACATTTATATAACAGAAAATCTGGCATGTTAACTTTTTTTATAATTCAGTGACAGTAGTTATTTTCATTAAATAATCATGTAGATTCTATTCCAGGGCACAGTGTTTTCCTTTTAAACTAATATTGTTTTCCTTCACAGAAACCATGATGGCATATACAGAATATCTTAAGGAATTTAAAAAGAAACCACAAAAACAGGAAAAGTGAATGTAGCCAGAATAAAGAGGAGGATACACGGCCAATATTCCAACTCAATTCTTCTACATACTAGCAGCATTAAAAAGTAAAATGCTACAACAAATAGTACTTAAAATAGCAAAAGAAAGGATGAAGTATGCAAAAATTCACTTAACTAAATATGCATGAACCCTGCACTGAGTACTGCTTGGAGAAAATGAAAGAAATGAAAAGTAATGTGGAGGAATTTCAAAAGTATCATGCTCAGTGAATGGAGTTAGATGCAAGAGATTATACTGCATTAATTCATTCTTAGGGATTTCTTTTCTTTTTTTTAAAATAGGGATTTCTATGTAAAGTGTCATCATTCGTTTTCCAAGGCAAGGGTGAGAGAGGGACTAATTGTGAACAGAACAAGTGGATTTGGAGAGGTGGTGGAAATTTTCTAAATCTTGAATGCTTTAGTACTTATCTGGGTATATATACTTGTCAACATAATACACCTGTACACTAAAATGCTATCACTATTAGAAAAGGGAGGTAGAACTCACAGTTGTTGATTTATTCAGCTGTATTCTCTACTATACTGTGAGTAACTGGGTAACAGAGAATGGAGCACTTTTTAACATTTTCTTTTCATAGGCTAACACAGGGTCTCTGACCAAGTAAGAACCAAGACCACTTCTGTTAAACAACCGAGCCATCATAATCGTGGGGTTACCATCCAGGTGGAGGAGGGAGTTGAGAGGTGGAACATACAAAAGGCTGAAAAAAGCAGAGAGCTGATGTGTGTGCTTCCTAACTGACAGAACCGGAGTCAAACTGTTTCCTAAACATCCACCAATGCTTTAGTTGCTGAGTTCTTCATGCAATTTACATCACAGCATGAAGGAACTATACCAAGTTATCGACTGGCTTGTTTACATGTGCTTGAAAAGGGAGCATAAGAACCCGAAGGGGCTGAAGTATAACGCTCAAGCACCATAAGAACAATTCTCACAAACATTTGTTTAACAAATTTGACATTTGATTTTTTTTTAAGAAAACTAATGAAATCAATGAAAACCACCCATTTCAGAATATCTGAGTGTATCTTAGATGACTTCCTAAACTGAAAATTAGCAAATATATATATAGCTTATTTTTTTAAATGAATAATGAAAAGTAGGAATTGTTCCAGTTGTCCGTTTCCAGTGATAGATGATGACAGTAACATCTAGTTATTATTTCAGACAAATGCTCTTTTCCTTCTGAGGGATCTGTGAATAGAACAGGGCATTTGACTATTAAACACATAATGAAGAATTTGCCAGTGCAAAACTATGTTATGAGAGAACATTAAGAAACCAGTGTAATATCCTTTATGTTTGCATCTTGTATGCTTCATACATCCCTTACAACTCCTGGTATTGGCATTATACATGTTGTTTGTTGTTGGTTTACACTAAGTCAGCAACAGCTCATAGAGACCCTATGAACAACAGATCTGAATTTTGTCATATTAACATACATTTTGTTGAATGACTAGAAAGCAATCAAAGCTATTAATTTAATTTGCCATATTTTTCATAAAACTTCAAGGGAGGAAAAGCTTACCCAGTACATTTACAAATGCATTTGCCAGCAAATACCCATATTCATTGGAAGCATTGCATTGATAGACAGCACTTGATCTTTCTTGAACAGTTGAAAAAATAATGGTGTCACCATCAATTTTTCTGCTAGGGTCATCAGGAGCAACTGTTTGGGTGTAAAAAGAAAGTTTCATTATATACATTTTCCATATTTTTATTTTAGATTTCTTGTTGTTATGTACTATAGAGTTAGAATCGGCTCATAGCTGACCCTCCAGTGCATTGTCAAAGGCAATAAATCACATAGGAGGAGACTGCTCATTTTTCTCTCATGGTAGCTGGTGGATTTGAACCACGTGCCTTTGGGTTGCCAGTGCAGTTCCTTACTACTCAGCCATCACTCCCTAATTTATTTTTTAAAAAAATATTTATATTTATTTCACTTTGCTTATAAGAGCTATTATATTAAATTTTTAAAGCTGAGGTCTACATTGGAGTAAAAAGAACAGAAATACAGACTGATGTACACGTGAAGGAGATGACTAAGAACTCAGCCAAACTCCTAATTCTTCCTCCTGAGGACTTCCTAGCCAGTTATCAGCATAAGAATATGTTCCATGTTCATTTAGTTTGTAAATGAATTTATTCTACAGGACTGAATATTACCAAACATAGAAAAGATTCAGAAAAAGCCCCTACAGGTTTAGATGAAAATTAGAGCACAAATTCTGGAAGCCATGGCCCCATTCACAGAGAAACTAGGATTATCTGTGACAAAGCAAGCTATTCTCAAGAAGAGAATAGCCAAGGTTTGTAAAAAAAAAAAAGTTATAGACATCCTAGTTTGTCCAAATCTACATCTTTGAAAAACAGCTTCTTCATAAAAGGAATGAAAAAGTTAATAAAATACAGAGATATTAATTTTTCCTTTTTTAAAAAATTCCTATAGCTGCAGTTGACATAAGCTGTGTAAAATGAGATGAAAGTGTTTTCATTGAATCTCTTTTTTCTTTTATTGTAATAAAGAGAAAGCTTCATACACATTGTTTTATAATATTACATTCTCTTCAATGTAAACACATTTTCCCCATTTCCTCTCTGTAATTCTGATTTCTATTAATCCTTGTTTCCTACTCCTTTCTACCTTCTGACCTTACACAGTTGGCTGATTAGTCTAAGGAGTGAGTGAGTGACTCCCTTGTGTTACAAGTCACCATAAAAGCTTTCTATCCTTTGGCTGAAAGGTGAGCAAATGGGATGAGTTTTGTGCCAGGTTGAATGGATGGCTGAGGGCCATAGTTTTGAGTATTTCACCAGTCTCTATTGGGGAATTTCCCCCTCCGCCTCCATCTTTCTGAATTTTCCTAAGTACTTAAAAATGTTAAGAGCAGGCTGATCCTTGCTGAAGTGAAATGGAACCGACTGGGTAACACAATAGCTGAGAATGTGGTCCCTGCTGTGCCCATCTTGGGAGGGAGTTGCTTAGTTATTGGAGATAAATTCCTTCTTATGAATGTTAAACATTGGGATCCGACCTTATTATTTTATAAGTATGCTGAAAGGGGTGCAGGCATCTGTTGTGGCAAGTTGGTCAAAATAAAAATGAAATACAAGCACTCTTTCTCTCATGGCTCTTGAAACGGGAACCAGCTAAGTAAGATTTCTATTTACTTCGTACTCTACACATAATTTCTTTCCTTTAGGTGGTAGGAAATGGATGTCTGTTACATCTGCCATTTCCTTTAGATTCTTTTATTTAAAAAAAACTCAAAGTTTGTTCGTCTATAGTTTACTAACCCACTTTAATGAGAATAAACTAAACTACAGGTGTCCATCCTTGCTTTGTTTCCTATATGCACAGCACTGCACATTTATTCTTATCTTGCCTCCTACTGCTGCAGTAATAAACTATTGAAAATTTAGGAACTTAAAGCAGTATGTGCTTCTTACACTGTTCTGAAATTTAACATGGGACTCACAGAGCTAAACCAGCATGCCTGAGCAAAAACCAAGGTGTTACATGGCTCAGTTTTCTTCTGGAAGCTCTAAGAGTGAGTCTACGGCTTTCTCTTTTCTAGTTTCTCAACCCTGTCTGCATATCTTGTCTGTAAAGTCCTTTTCTCCATCTTCAAAGCCAGACACATTGAATATCTGATCATTCCATAGTCACAATTCCCTCTGATTGGGGCTGGAATAAGCACTTAACTTTCAATGACTCGTAGATTGGGCTCAAACAGATAATCCAGGATGATGTTGTTGTTGTTGTTGATATGTGCCGTTGAGTCACCTGCGACTCATAGTGACCCTATGTACAACAGCCCTAAACTCTGATCTATCCTGTGCTGATCACACCATCTCCGACACACCTACCCACATAACCCCAGTCACTGAATCAATACTCTCCTTATTTCAAGGTCTATAATCTTCATCACAGCTGTTAAAGGTTCTTTTGCCACATAAAGTAGCCCATTCACTGGTTCTGGATATTAGGACATAATGACATCTTTGAAGAGGAGGCTTGATTCTGCCCACCAAACATTTTGTCCTAAGTCATAACCCAGAAGCCATTTAGATGTTTCAGACCAGAATGATCTAACTGCAAAATGAGGCAAAGGAACACATTTTCCACATGACAGTTATCAGAGCTCTTACTGATGGGTTCTTTCTTTCGAACTAATGAAGCAAGCATGGCGGATGTTCTTACAAAAGTAGTTGTCCTACGCTCCAATCACAACCAACAGTTAATTTATGAACTCAGAATGTTTGTTAGTTCAATGAGTGATGGGAGTGTGCCCAGATATTTTGAACTGTCTTTTTAGCCCACATCTGTTATTTGTTATTCTAACCATGTCAAAATTGTTTTAAGGAATGTGCTTTTCTCACCAAAAGACACATATGACTCATAATTCCTTCAGTGGGGTGTAGGCTTCATCAGTAAACGGTAGCAGAGGACTGCAATGTCAGAGAGAAGAACGGTGGTCCAGGAAGTGAGCGATCATCAGGGGAGGCAGCAGCACACCCTGAGAGGACAAGTGCACCAGGAGGTGGCCCCGGTTCCTTGTCTTAGGCCCTGAGTGGAGCATTATCAGAGCTTTTCTGACTCATGTCTTCAAAGCCATATCTACAGTCTATCAAAAATACACACTGGAACACAGAGTAGCATGTCTGGATCACTGCTGATTATTCCTGATGCTTTTGGAGTCCACACTAAAGCACTCTGTATTGAGACTTCTCTGAGGTCCCTGGATACTCATCACACACCAGCTCGATTCTACCTCAATGGACCTGTCTTTCACAGAGGAGCATCTCTATCTATCTATCTATCTATCTATCTATCTATCTATCTATCTATCTATCGTTCTATGTTCTATCATTCTATCAGATTTCAGACTCGGTTGAGGCTAAGCTCTGGGGTGAATTTGTCTACACTGAAAAAGACCCACTGCAATCAAATTGATTCCATCTCTGGGGTTATGGATGAGAACTGGCCTTTGGGTTTTCCTGGCTATCATCTCAATGGAGGTAGATTGTATGCCTTTCTCCCATTTCTACCACATGGGGTAGAACCATCAATCTTTGGCATTTGAGTACAAGTTTGTTTGTAAACCCTAGGGATCTTTGATAGGTGATAGAGATGGGTGGTGGAGCTCTTCATTTTCCTTGAATGTACAGAGCTATTAAAAGCTCTTACCACTATGAACATGGAAGATAATGCTCACACAACCAGCACTCAACAGAGCAGCCTTCCCAAGCAGAGACTCATCAATCACAAGCATAAGACATTTAAAAAGGTTAAATGTAGCATGCAGTAGCGATTTTCATTGTATTAATTCATTGAGCATCTATGTAAAAGGAACCTGACTCTTATCTGCCTTATTTATGCTAAGTGATTGCTATTAATTGCTGTTGAATTGGTTCTGACTCTTGAGAATGGGAATTCCAGAACACCTGATTGTGCTCATGCAAAATCTATACTTGGACCAGGAGGCAGCTGTCAGAACTGAGCAAGGAAGCTACATGTTTCAACATCAGGGAAGGAGTATGTCAGGTATGCATCCTGTCTCAATACTTTCAAAGTATATGTGAAATAGATCATTCAGGAGGCTGGACTTTATGTGGAGGAATGTGGCATCAGAATTGGAAGAAGACTGATCAACAACCTGCATTATACAGGCTGCACTCTGAAATTAAGGAGGGCCTGAAGCATTTGCTGCAGAGGGTCAAGGACTATAGTCTGCAATCTAAATTGCAATATTAAGCTCATTATTAAGAAAACAAAGATTCTCACCACTGGACCAATTGACAACATCATGATAGACGGAGAAGAGATTGAGATAGTTATCTATTTCAGCTTTTTTGAGTCCACAATCAACACTCTTGGCACCAGTAATCAGGAAATCAAAAGACAAACTGCATTAGGAAAATCTTCTGTCAGGGTCTTCTCCAGAGTACTAAAGAGCAATGATTTCAGTCTTGAGACTAAAATGCACCTGATCCAGGCCATGGTCTTCACAATTACCTGTTATGAATCAGAGGGCTGGACAATGACCAAAGAGGATAGAATAACTGATATCTTTGAGTTGTGGTGCTGGAGAAAAGTATTGAACATTCCATGGACTATGAAGAGAAGTAAACGGTCTGTCATGGAGAGAGCAAAGCCAAGCTTTTATTTGGAGACAAGGATTTGAGGCTTCGTCACACATACTTTGGGCACATGCCCAGGAGAGAACAATCTTTGGAGAAGGACATCATTCTTGGAAGGGTGGAGGGACAGTGTAGGAGAGGAAGACCCCAGATGAGATGAACTAACATAGTAACTGGTGTAATGAGGGTAGGTGTGTCAGAGACAGTGAGATGGCCAGGGACAGAGCAGGGTTCAGAGCTATTATGCATAAGGTTACTATGAGTTGTGGTTAACTTGATGGCACATAACAACCACAACAATAACTTAGTGATCTTACGTAGAACAGGTTTTGTGATTTATTTCAGAAAACTAGCTAATGAAAAAAAAAATTTATGAATCACAGTAGAATTTTTGTTTGCTAGTATGTTGTTATGTGCTGTCAAGTCAGAACTGACTGAGAAACTCCAGGAATAGAGGCTGTAAATCACACAGGAGAAGACTGCTCACCTTTCTCCCTGAGAGCAACTGGTGGATTAAAACTG